TTAGTTTAAACATTTTTCGGGCACCCTACCATTTGCTGGGGACTAACCTGGACGTTTCAGGTACAAATATTAAGGGTCTCATAATTAATGGGGAAAACAAACACATCGATAAAAACTGAAGTATTTCATGAAAGTAGGCACAGAGGCCTCTGCTGTTGCAGATGCAAGGGCGAGTAATTAAGGAACTCCACCTGTGGGAACAGCCAGAAGGGCTTTAGAGAGGAACTAAACAATTGAGCTGAAACTCCAAGGTCAAGGAGACTTCCCCATGAGGTCAAAGTAGGATATTCCAGGCTGGGGAGGTGTGTGAGCATGTACCATTTCAGGTTGCATAAGGAAAAGGTGCTCTGGTGTGCCTTCACTCGTAACAAGTCAGTCAACTCAATTCCTGTACACTCCCCCCCATAACCTGGAAAATACAAAGCGACATCTACCACCACAGACCTACACATAGTCATACACGAGACCCAGGGACCTTTATTCATGGGACTTCGAAGTAAAGCCTGCCCTTCCTGCACGTTGCAAGTTTCTTCTGGTTCCATAATATTTCATGTTAACTGGTACGCCTTTTCCTATGTCTTCTGTGCATATTACCTTTCTGCCAAAGGCCACAATAGAAAGCATTTCGTGAATCCATCTGGCACCTTCTAGATGAGGTCAAGGTTCTCTGAGCTCCAGGGGTGGGGGTGGGGGTGGGGGTCATCAAAGGCTAAAAAGAGGGGGATAGAGAAAGAACTTGGTGGTGCCAGAGTCTGAAGAGCCAACTTGGGAAGTCATCTCAGACAGGAGCAGAGCAGCATTTGAGGGCTGCCCGATCTCTGCTCCTGCCAGCATTGCCCTTTCACCAGCTTGGATGTGCTGACCACCCATCAGGAGTCCTGTGTCCTAACCTATCTTTCTTTAGGTGAGCAACTCCCCTAAAAAAAAAAAAGAAAAAGAACACCTCCAGACACTGGTAAGCACTCCCACTGCTCTAGCCTAGCTCCCCAGCCAAGGAGGGACTGGGGGAGGGTCTTAGGGAAAGAAGGTCTTTTTATACTGGGGTGAGACACAACAGGACCAGTTCCAAATCAACATCCACCTCTCTCCTGCCCCCTGTGGGACAGTGATGGTACACACCCCTTCCAGAATCTTTCCTGTCATTCTGAGTGTCTTTGCCTGGGAAAGGTGGGGTTGTTGAGCCACAACTCAGCCTTGGAAAAGACTCTTAGTAACAGAATTTTCCACTAATCGGATTTCTTTTAAAACAGGGGTATCTTATGTGACATCTGCCGCCCTAAAGTATTTAGTCCTGTGTTCCTACCCAAGTCTTGGCCCCTTCTTGCTACTCTTTATGCCCGGGGATCTTTTATGCTCGGAGGCTTGGTTTAAGTTTAAGTTGTTTAAACATTTCTGTCTGGGTATAAACTTGGCTTTGTGTCAGGGAGCCCTGTCTAAAAAAAAAAAAAAGAAGTCGTTTAGTAAGCCGAAGCTGTTAGATAAATGACGTTACAGCCGGCAGTCGGCAATAAAGTAAATAGTCAAAAGATAGCAGGACTCGCTGCTCCTTCAGATCGCAGACAACCTGGAGCTGGACTTTTGTACTTTCTGCTTCGGAAGGCATGTGGTGACTGGGAGTTTGATGCTTTACAGAATGACAGGCTTAACTTTCAGGAGCACTGTCCCGGCTCCTTTGTTTTGCCTGCAGGGGAATGAGGTGGGCAGGCCCGGATCTGACACATGAACTCTGTCCAGGCCGGGCAGTTAAAACCCGGTCCCGCTGGCAAGGACAGTCCTCAGGCTGGGCCCGTGTCAGGGCTCCCTGCAGCCCTGGGCGAGGCTTCTGGACAGACCTCTCTCCTAACACACCCGGTGCCCTTGGTAAATTCCTTCATCTCCCTGTCTTGGTTTTCTAACCTTTAAAATAAGGTCTTTCCTACTTTAGGCTGGTGTGTGTGTGTGTGTGTGTGTGTGTGTGTTTACCACACCCCACTGAGCAGGAGTTTGGACATTGGTTGAACGTGGAGAGAGGCAATGTTTGGCTGGCGATCACGCTTTCTAAGCTACCTCCGGGGTTTTCGCCCCGGTCCCGCGGGGAGCTAGCTTTTCGATGCGACTCCGGGTCTCCGGGTGTAAGCACTTCAGCTCGTTTAGGTCCACCGGGTGGGCGGAGAGGAAGGCAGTCCTGCAACTACCAATACTTTCCTCTAGGGGGAGCCGCGCCGCCCGGAGGAGGTGACACGCACTAACTCCGAGTCCTCGCCGGGAAGCGCTTCATCCCGGCTCCTCGGAGTGCGCGGCCCGGACGGCGTCTCCGCAGCGGGTCTCGCACCGGCGGCCCCGAACTCCCGCTTCCTCCCGCTGCGGCAGCCCGGGTCCCGGGGGCGGCGGGCCAGGCGCGGCGTGACCCCCGCTGAACCGCGGCCGCAGATTCCCACCCCTCCCGCCCCATCCTCCCTTCCCGTTTCACCCCGCCCCCTCCCTCTCCCCGAGCCTGACAGCCCGGGAGCTGCCAAGCTTGGCGCAGCCATGGGAAGAGGAGGCGGTCCGGGGA